TCTACGAAATGAAATAAAAAAATAATCACATTTTTCTGTATACTTATACATATGTATGTATATGTTTGCATATTTTTTCTGTTTTCATACATATCGATTTACCCTTCTACAAATTCTTTCATTGATTCTTACTTGGAAAAATTTCTTCGTAAATACGAAAGTTATTTGATCTTTTAATAATACGACGTAAAGAAAATTTCGAAGAAGATATAGAAGAATTTATCATTTGTTATTTTATTGTGTCTTTTTATTTTATATCTTACGCGATCACTAAGACCGATATATTGAGATTTAAAAAATCTTATCTTAATTATAGTAAGTTATTTTATAATAATATTATTGTAACGATAAACTTTCTGTTAAGCTATCTTTCAACATTTCGTTTGATTTAATAGGCACTGTCACTTAATGATTTACATAACTCGTCGTGTATTGTAAGAAAATTGAAGATACATTGCATAACTTATATTCATCGATATTTACAAGTTCTCTCATATCTTCGAGAAATCCAAGTTACTAACTTAAAACGGAAAGATATCCTTTCTGCTTCGGTATCGTATGAAAAAGTAAAGAGAAATGTTCCCTTTTCAATTACTTCGTAGTTTACTTATTTCAAATAACGTTTACTCTGAGACACTCGGTACATGGAATATTATCTCGATAATTTCTTATTTTCAACGTGATATATCGTCTGTCGGCAACCTACATTTTCGATGTTGAAAATATCATTAAAAGTTAAACATCCGGAACGAAAATATTTTCTTACCTAAGAGTTTCTCGAGATATTGGCACCTTGTTTCGGGATCACCCGGGTTCATGGGCGCGCCTGCAACCAGTTCGGCTAGTTCCGCCTTAACCATTAAATTCAATCGTGCCGAGATCTCTTCTAGACCCGCTGCAAGTATCGAACAGTCTTTGTTTCACACAAACCTCCTCGACAAATATGCGCTCAATACATTAATTTACATGTATCAACAGGTAAAAATATTTCAGAGATTATGCGTGCTGGTGATTATGAAAGTGGTGGTCTAAGTCAAAAATCGAAAACAATTGAATTTATCGGTATTTCGTGAGATATTTGATTACACAATGAGAAATGGAAAGTTCTAAATATTTCGAAACGAAAAGTATAACGACTTGGGCTACTTTTATAATCACCGCGACACACGTAATACGAACATTGTTATTTCGGGAGGAAATTCATATGGAAATATGTTTCGCTGAAAATAATTACAAACAACCGTTAAAAATTGAAATAATAAGATTATTATCTTTTGTACCTATTTCTCTGAAATTGATAAGTTAAGCATTACGGTCTCTCCTGTCTCGTTCAATTTAATTTTCTGTCCTTTGCTACGCAGCTATATTGTGAAACAAATTTTTTCTATGTTTTTTAATAAACGTTCGCACATTTACGTTAAGAAAAGTCACTTAGAAAAGTATAAATAAACAGGAACTGAGTGACAGAATTAGAAAAGAAGAGGAAGATCGAGAAATTCCACCTAATTGTAGCAGAATTAATGTATTTCCTGTTAATAGTGATAAAATAGATTTATAACAATTATGAATAGTGGTAAAGTGTGACTGAAAATTAAGAACATCGAAATATAATCGATATAAAAAATATACATATTTTATTATTATAG